AAAATATTGATTAAGTTGATTAATGTTTATTTGTGTTGTTTGCAAGCAAGCAACGTAAATCTACTTTAATGTTTGCACAAATTTTGCCTTTGCATTACTTCTTAGGTCTGCTTTAACAGCATGAAATAGCTACTATTTGTACGATTTATACAAGTGCAAGAAGATTCATCAGTTAACAGGTTAGTTGATCACCATAGTTATCTGCAATACGACTTTAGCGTCGTCAGATAGGCGACTAACCTTAGAATCTCATGCTAGTATCTATTCATATATACTGCTTGCAGAGATGAAATATGCATTGTACACAAAATTTATCATGTGAAACAAGTAGATTTGAGATTCTCCTTACTAAATTGCAACGAATTGCAATTAAGAAAAGGAATAAAACATCAAGATTCATGCATATAAATATACAATCCTCTCAAAACAATGCATATATGGTAGTATGCAAGTGTTTTGTTGATTATTTTACATCTCAACTCTCAGACAGATGTGACCTCGGAAAAGACCCGAAAGCCGCAATGTGCGTTGGAAGCTCAAGTGCTCGGCGTGTCCTGCAATTCGCACCGATTATCGTAGCTAGCTACGTTCTTCATCGATTGGTAATTCGAGTGATCCACCGCTTGAAGATGTATCTTTGCCACCGTGGGACTTTTAATAAGTATCCTAAATCTGCATTGAGAGGGTTTGAAAACAATTGTATGCAGTTTATAAAAACCATAGTTGTCTTTACTTAGTTAGGCGAAGAAGTGTAAAACTTCCTTCTTTAAACCTTGCCGTCAGCATAAGCTGAAGACTTGAACAGGTACCAAGTATGTAGCAAGACAGGCTTTTCATTATAAACTACAATTGTTTTGCAAAAGAAATTATGGCTATCGTTAGATAACCCTCACTCTTTGTTGCATTGGATAATGAAAGATGGATGTATGAATGAACGAATGTAATGCAAGTTAGAATCATGTTGCAATGGCTAAATGTTTGCATTAAACATTCACAATTGCGACTCTAATGCAAATACAATTCAATTGCATTCACCATATTAGCATCTACAATATCACTATGCAGAGTGTTTGATTGTTTGAAGGTTGTATTTCTCTTATAATAAGAGGGTAATACGTTAATGATCCTTCCGCAGGTTCACCTACGGAAACCTTGTTACGACTTTTACTTCCTCTAAATGATCAAGTTTGAACATCTTTCCAGCACAATCCGACCACTAGTTTCCCAATGGTCTGGATTGACCAGTCCGAAGTCCTCACTAAATCATTCAATCGGTAGTAGCGACGGGCGGTGTGTACAAAGGGCAGGGACGTAATCAACGCAAGCTAATGACTCACGCTTACTGGGAATTCCTCGTTCATGGGCAATAATTACAATGCCCAATCCCCATCACGAAATGGGTTCAAGCGGTTACCCACTCCTTTCGGAGCAGGAAACAGTATGCACGATGACCACTTCAGTGTAGCACGCGTGCGGCCCCGGACATCTAAGGGCATCACAGACCTGTTATTGCTCTGTTTCGTGCGGCTGCGAGCGCCGCTTGTCCCTCTAAGAAGTCCTTACAGTGCTACAGCATCCTTACCCTAGCCAATTCTGTAGGCTAATAGCAGCAGAGCCCTCAACAGCCGAAACCATCAAGAGATACTACCACCCACAGGTTGACTAAGGGGGAGTACTGCAGTGTAAACTGCAAGTCTATTTAGTAGGCTAGAGTCTCGTTCGTTATCGGAATTAACCAGACAAATCACTCCACCAACTAAGAACGGCCATGCACCACCACCCACTGAATCAAGAAAGAGCTCTCAATCTGTCAATCCTCTCAGTGTCCGGGCCGGGTGAGTTTTCCCGTGTTGAGTCAAATTAAGCCGCAAGCTCCACTCCTGGTGGTGCCCTTCCGTCAATTCCTTTAAGTTTCAGCTTTGCAACCATACTTCCCCCGGAACCCAAAAACTTTGGTTTCCCGGAAGCTTCCATTCGAGTCATGAAATTAGTTACTCAGAATGATCGCTGGTTGGCATCGTTTATGGTTAGAACTAGGGCGGTATCTGATCGCCTTCGAACCTCTAACTTTCGTTCTTGATTAATGAAAACATTCTTGGCAAATGCTTTCGCTGTAGTTTGTCTTGCGACGGTCCAAGAATTTCACCTCTAGCGCCGCAATACAAATGCCCCCGTCTGTCCCTCTTAATCATTACCTTGGATTCTTAAGACCAACAAAATAGAACCAAGGTCCTATTCCATTATTCCATGCAAGATCATTCAAGTTAAGGTAGTGGTACGCATCATATAGATGGTTGACCATACCGTTTTTAGGCACCTCTTTCGAGGTTTTGGACGCCTGCTTTGAGCACTCTGATTTTTTCAAGGTAAAAGTCTCGATCGCTTGAATCAACACTCGGTAAAGAGCATTGATAGCAAATATCGAGCAATTTTCTGTCTAAACACTATGAATGTAACCACCAGGAAAGAGGAATGAAGGTTCAAGCTAGCATCCGTAGACACAAGCAAGAAACCTAACATCACCATCTAACCCTTTAATCAGTGGACCCCATAGGTTCGACTGAAATCCAACTACGAGCTTTTTAACCGCAGCAACTTTAATATACGCTATTGGAGCTGGAATTACCGCGGCTGCTGGCACCAGACTTGCCCTCCAATAGATCCTCGTTAAAGGATTTAAATTGTACTCATTCCAATTACGGGGCCTCAATAGAGTCCCGTATTGTTATTTTTCGTCACTACATCCCCGTACTGGGATTGTGTAATTTGCGCGCCTGCTGCCTTCCTTAGATGTGGTAGCCGTTTCTCAGGCTCCCTCTCCGGAATCGAACCCTAATTCCCCGTTACCCGTTACAACCATGGTAGGCGCATAACCTACCATCGACAGTTGATAAGGCAGTTGCTTGAGGGATACATCGTCGGCTCAGAGGCCATACGATTTGCTCAGTTATTCAGAGTCATCACAAGAAATGCAACCGAAGTTGCTAAGATCCCCACTGCTAGTCCTTAGACAGCGACCGAAATCACTGAACAGGGTTCTAGGTGAATAAGAATCATTGGTCTTGTACTAATAAATGCGATCCTTCCGTCAGCAAGCTGAGGTTGGAACACTTGTTCATGTATTAGCTCTAGAATTACCACAGTTATCCATGTAAAAAAGAATATCCGAGGAACCGTAACTGATTTAATGAGCCATTCGCGGTTTCACTTTATAAACAGTATGTACTTAGACATGCATGGCTTAATCTTGAGACAAGCATATGACTACTGGCAGGATCAACCAGGTAACTTGATGTTTTAGCAAAGTAAAATGCTAAACAAGTTGTTTTGCAGCTATAAATACGATATCCTCAGATAACAACCAGCAAGTGGATGCTAACTTTAATGAGGTATCGAGATTTATGTCGTGCATTAAGATGATTCCGCAGAAATCTCTTTAGAATCCATCTTCTTCCACTAGAATATGCAAGCATATCTAGCAGAGTAACCATTGCTGGGTACGTTTGCAAGTCAACTAAACAGCATAGTATTATAACCGCTTGATACCAATTTCTTGGATCAATCTGCGGTCTGCTTTGCACAAGCAGAGCTCAATACTAATACTGCTCACTCTGTTGAGTGACTAGTTTGAACATATATGCAAGATATGAAGTCTGATAGCATTAAAGCCCAACTCTCATAGATATTGTCAGTCGTACCAAGGAAGACCTTAGGTCTTGCAGGTACTCTACCTTTGTATAATAGTGTGTGGTGATAAGATGATTGACGATCCAAACCCATTCAGGCCCGTCTCTTCAACCACCAAACATCAACAGAATAACAGGAATAGATGCGTGAACAGCTACAGTCTGGACCATACCACTGCTTGATGCATTGACTTATCCATAACCGTAGACAATCACTTACCTCCCCATCAACTACTGATGGTTGCTTCTCTCAATTCAGCAACTACACTCACCACATATAACACAATAAATCTGGTTGTGATCTAAAACCTCTTTTTCTGAAAATTAGACTAAGTCCGTGTCTATTTTTGACACCCAATAACTTTTGAACCATAAAGTCAATCGCGATCATGTTTTTCGGGGTAATATCCCAGTAGTGCCGACTATCGCATGCGCTTATTAATGACCTAAATTACTAAACGCAAGTGGCCTAAAATCGCGCCAATTCGAACATTCTCATTGCTTTTATGGGCTCAACCATTAAAGGCGATTTCCTCTGGTACCAACAGCACGAACTCGATCAAAATTACGCAATCATTAGTTGACCTAATGCTGATAATGTCCAAAAGATTTGGTACCGTGAATCGACCTCGTTCTTCCGTTATAATGAGTCATCATCGAAAATCCAGGGGTATGCAAAAATTTAACATGTAAGTCAATGGAAAAAGTTAAAGTTCGGTTTTTTCCAGGGGTATGCAAAAATTTTTCAGTTTTAAATCAAAACAAGACTAACTAACTAAAACCTCGCTAAAATCACCAAAACAGCACTTTTTTCCATTTTACACCATTTAACATGTAATTCAATGGAAAAAGTTAAAGTTCGGAGCACTTTTTTCCATTTTACACCATTTAACATGTAATTCAATGGAAAAAGTTAAAGTTCGGATTTTTCCAGGGGTATGCAAAAAAATTTAACATGTAAGTCAATGGAAAAAGTTAAAGTTCGGTTTTTTCCAGGGCTAAAAACCTCGCTAAAATCACAAAAACAGCACTTTTTCGCATTTTGAACCATATAAATCATGTAAAATTAACATGGAAGTCTATGTAAAAAGTTAAAGTTCGGTTTTTTCCAGGGGTATGCAAAAAATTTAACATGTAAGTCAATGGAAAAAGTTAAAGTTCGGTTTTTTCCAGGGGTATGCAAAAAATTTAACATGTAGTTCAATGGAAAAAGTTAAAGTCCAAATTTTTCCAGGGGTATGCAAAAATTTTTTTCGATTGTAAAAGCTTAAGTCACCAATAAAAGTGACTTTTAGTAGCTAACTTATGCTTAGC